AACTTACGAGCAGACCACAGAAGATTGGTGCTGCTGGAAGGCAAGGGCACACTCTGTCTTGCAGGCTGCCCACAGCTGGTCTGCTTGTGGGTTTCCTCCAGACCACCACCCGGCACATTTTTGCATTGCTCCCTGAGGGCACACAGATTGTGCTCTCCCTTTGGCTTTCTCTTATTCTTCTGGATTCCCCCTGAGACTTGATCTTAGTCTCTTTCTACATTTTGATCCTGGGTAAACTCATCAAATTACATAGCCTGTAGCACCACTCAGACATAGAGGACACCCAGTGGTATCTCTTTACTCTTTATCTGTTCCTCTCATTCCAATCCTGAATCTCCAAGTTCCCCACTATTCTGTTTACTCAAACACTTCATCATCTGAGCAAACATAGAAGTTGTGATACTGGTGGCAGCAGGCTGGCAACAACTTTTGGTGATGAAAGGCTCCTAAAGGTTTCTTTAGAGCAAAAGAAAGCTCTGGGGAGCCTCAGAATCTAAAATGGCAGGGTAGGGAGCATTTAATTAATTTAAAATATATTTTAGCACCATGACTTGATTACATCATCAGTTCTGTCATGCAAAGTTACACACACACACACACAAATTTGGGCCAATATTTCCAAGATGAAACTGTCACCTCTCCCTAATCCTTCCTCTCCTCATACACATTCCTTATCTTCTGACAATGTTAGCTAATGTTTAAAATGGAAAACATGTAATCAGTGAAATTGCTGTTATAAACATATTAATCTAAGTTTGATGTTTTATAGAAAGACTCCTTCTCCTTTCCTCTCTAGAAGGACAAAGATGATTGCACCTCCCTTTAGAAACTATGTTTATGGTATTTGAAGAGGTAGGTAGCTGTGTTAGTTAGATAATTAGATACAGTGGGGTCTCGACTTACGAACAGCTCGACATACGAACGTTTCGACTTACGAACCGCTCTCATAGGAATATATGGACTCGACTTACGGACTTAGATTCGAGTTACGAACTCTTTTTTTCCTTTTTTTAAAAGCTAAGTCATCTTAGGTTAGAAGGAAAAAAGAAAAAAACTGCCAAAAATTAACAGTTATTGAATTGAAAGGAAGCAGGAAAATTACTAAATTCTAGGGTGTTTTTTTAAAAGAGGCAACAAGGGAAAAGAAATTAAGGTACGTAAACTTTTCTGATATAAAGATTATTAACAAGTCCAATAATGTCAACACAGCAGACAAGAAAGGACTGAGCGGAGCAGGTAGGGCATGATCAGTAGAGGCAAGAGGGAATAAAATCTTGAGGTAGAAGTTCTGGAAGTCTCCAAAGGGGTGTTTGTGCAGGCACAGAACCCATTTCTGTGGAATATGGAGAGTATGACAAAGAATTTTATAGAAGAACTGCTTTATTCATGCAATTAGCACCTATAGTTTCACTTATATATGGATTATGCTATATATAAAGTTTCTATATCTGTGCTTTCTGGCATCCATGGAGATGTTTGGAATCCCCGCAGATACTGCAGTCTTACTGTAGTTTTAATTACATTTTCAGATTCTAAGACAAAATGTCTTATATAGTTGTGCTAAAGAAATATATCTGAAATGGCCAGCTGGTGTTTTATAAAATAATATCCTGTTTTCCCGAAAATAAGACCTAACCTGAAAATAAGCCCTAGTGTGATTTTTCTGGATGCTCGTAATATAAGCCCTACCCCCCAAAATAAGCCCTAGGTAAGTGAGGGAGCCCCCCACCATTGTGCAGCAACCAGAAGATGACATGACTGTATTTGAATAAATGTAGATTGTTGTACATGAAAAAAATAATACATCCCCTGAAAACAAGCCCTAATGCATTTTTGGAGCAAAAATTAATACAAGACCCTGTCTTATTTTCAGGGAAATATGGTAGTACCCAAATTTGGGGCTCTCAATAGTTTTCGGCAATGGCCAAAATCCTGTTGAGCAGAGTGCCTGCACAATGGGAATGATGTCATTTGCAGTGGCAGACTTTTGCAATCTCAGGGTGTACATGGCTTCAACATATTGAGACACACACACCTTGAAATTACAAAAGGAAGCCTGATTTAATCAGGAGCAATCTGTCTCTGCCAATGATGTAATTCCTGTTGTGCAGATGGAGCTTCTGCAACAGGGTTTCAATCATTAATTCTCAGAAGCCAGATAAATACCAGATTCTTAGTTTCATTAACTAAGATTTCTGAGCATTACAGTCAAGTGCATTTATAGGATAAAGCTTGAGCCACCTGGTGTAACTCTAGTTTTTAAAAGGAATTGTAAACTCTTTTCCCTTTGGAAAAGGATAATTTTGACTGATATATTCTCCTCAATAAAATGGACATGCATTTTAATGAGTTTGGTGTTACTTTTTAAAACATTATTTTTAAACAAGGTTTTGAAGGCCTTTTTATGCACTTGTCCAAAAACAAAACAAAACACAACCCCCCCCCAAAAAAAAACCACTCTCCAATCTCAAACCAATGAATTTAACACAAACATTTTCATGTTGGGTGTATTATTTTCTTTTATTTTTAATTAAGAAAAATTATAAATAACAAAGTTAAAACTAAAATACAAACTCAATAGTGACTACATGCATTACACATTGAACTTTCTCCACCTGTGTCAATTTCACCCTCAGGACTAGGTGACCAATAATATCAGTTGATACCCCTTTTCACCCAATACCTCTCCAAATATGCATTAATTCTTTTCCTGACATACAGCCTTTCCCCTTCAAAAAGACATGCTCTGAGTATAACTTCCATACATCTTTGAAATCATTATTTTACTTTTCCTCCTATTTTTATTTCACATGCTAATTTATCATTAATCACTAAGCTCCACATTTCTTTATACCAATCTTCAAGATTGATTTGTTTATCACTTTTCCAATTCTTTGAAAATATTAATCTTGCTACCGTAACCATTGTAACAACTACCGTATTTTTTGCTCCATAAGACACACTTTCCCCCTCAAAAAAAGTGAGGTGAAAAGTCTGTGTGTCTTATGAAGAAAATACATTGCATTTGGTTTCTTCTAGTGGTCAGTCTGATAATTACACCTTTTTTACTATGCTGATCTGGAAGGACGCTGCCTCAAACTTGCTGGGAGTAGGCAAAATGGTGGTGGCTTAACAGCCCCCCCCCCCAGTACTGTTCTCATTAGTAGCACTGAGACTACAGGGCATCCTAAGCAGCCCTGTAGGACCAGCGCTGCTTACTGGACAGCCGGATCACGTGACCAGCCAGACGCTGTGGGAAGCACAGAGAGAGAGAGAGAGAGAGCTCCACGGAGGAAGGGAGAAGACTCATCCAGCTACCGTAAATAACATAATAAAGAGGAATTCCTGGCTGGATTGCTGACTGGTGATATTAAGGGCACATGAGGCATTGTTGGTGAAAAGTAGGATTTGTTTCAGTTGCTCATTGAGTGAAAGGCTTTTAGTTCTTTTGACATTTGTCATACTATTCAAATACCCTAATGGTATCTTAAACCTGAATTTTTGATACTTTACCCTGATGTATTGCACCTTGGGGTGTCTGCTTCACTCCCCTAATGGTGAACATAATTCAAAATATATTATATAAAATAATAGACCTCCTCATGTGGGACCACTCTGCCTATAGAGATACCATACAACTTTATTACACTATTTGGTTCAGAATATTTTTTCCTGTTTTCCTCCTCTAAAAATTAGCTGCGTCTTATGCTGAGGTGTGTCTTATGGAGTGAAAAATCCAGTAACTCTTTCTGGTCTTTTTAAAAATGATCATTCTTAATTATGTTCAGGAGCGCAATAACTGAATATCTGAATATCACATCCAATAATTTTTCTAATTTCCTTAAAAATTAGTGCCCATTCTTTCTTTTTTTATTTCACACGTCCACCACATATGCATATAGGTCCCTTTTTCCATCTCCAGAATTAGATGGTAAATTTTTATCTATTATATCCAGTCTTACTGGAGTTAAATACCATCTCCATGCTACATTATAGCAATTTTCTTTTACCCTTGTAGACATATTCTTCATTATTCTTTTTGATCATACAGTGGTGCCTCACAAGACGATTGCTTCGCATAACGACGAATTCGCTTTATGATGAGGGTTTTGGAGCCATCTTGCGCTTCGTTTAACGATGTTTCCTATGGGCAATTTTCGCTTTACAATGTTAGGGACCTTGCCTTGCAAGACGGTTAAATTTTAGGTCCCTCTTTTTCACTTTATGATGTTTTTGACAGCTTTGTCTTGCTTCGCTATATGGGTCTTTTAATGGTCTCTGTTTCGTTAGACGGCTGTCTTCACTTGGGAACCGCATTTCACTTAATGATGTTTCCTATGGCAATTTTCGCTTTACGATGACTATCCATTCCCATTGGATTATCAGGTTTTCAATGCATTTCAATGGGAAAAATGCCCCGCTGGGACAGATGAGCGGCAAGCGAAGCTCCGCCTCCTCTCAGCGCACTCCTATTAGGTTCTAATATCATTGTTGATCTGACAGCAGGTGCAGCTTCACGCCCCGCTCCCCTCCTGCTGCTGCTAGATCAGCTGTGCCTGTGGCATTAGAATCTAATAGGAGCCAGCACTCCTATTAGGTTCTAAGCCACTGCTGATCTAACAGGAGGCAGAGCTTCAATTGTAGCTCATCTCCTGCTCCTGCTTGCCATTTCCTTTATGAGCTTGATTCAAAGCTATCCTCCAACAACCTACTGGATAACGTACCCTCCCCCAGGTCCTTGGGAGAATGGTCTTCAGCTAAACCAGTTCCTGGTGTCAAAAAGGTTGGGGACCACTGCACTACACTACACAATTTTGGTCAGACTCTCTCCCCCCTATATACTGAATATCATAAACATCATAAATATATTTTGTTTCCAAATGACTTTAGCATAGAATTAGCCACGTTCAAACATTTTACAAAAGACTGAACATGAAATATGTGTTTTAGTAAAAATTACTGTATTAATCAGAAAAAAAATCCAGTATACATACGCTTACCTGATATGGCAATTTTGCCTCTGCAAGGTGTACGTTCTTTAGCTGCAAAATCTGAGCTTCTAATAAGAGAAACCAAAAGTTCTTATTAGATACAATGAGACTATTAGGTAAAATAATGAACTAACAATAAACTTGCATCTGCTTTCTTTCAAGAGAAACTTGTTGAGGTCCATTTAAGGGATATTCAATTATGCTTCTAGCTATCCACACAAAATATTTTAACTGTGCTTCACTAATTAAACTGCTTAGGGATGAAAAGTGACAGATATTGTTAGCATTCGCTAGAATACTGGTAGCACATTTATTACATTACATCCATAAACTGATAAGAAACTGGAGGAAGGAATCCATTGAAATGTCTATGCAAGTCCTGGAAAAAAGCACATTTTGCCAGAAACTAACCAAGGCACAGCTGTGCTGTTGTGTAACTCCCCTTTTCTGAAGACATAAGTAGTAACTGAAAAAATTGCCTTAGGTGAGGTTCTCTGGACAACCTGCCTGTTTTTGACAAAGCCATATGATGCTATGTCATTTAACCATCAAGAACTCTGGCAACATATAATAGAAATACCAAAACTATTTGAACCTACAAAACCAAGGATTTGTTGTGATTGCTATAATACTGATACAAGCAGCAGATAGGCTGCAAAATGCAATTTTTTTCACTGACAAGTACAGCCATAGAGCTGTCATCCAACCAAACATTTTTGAATTAGTCTGCACTAACAAGACAACCTATCTTCCAAATGCAAAGAAACTGGAAATCTTTGTCACTCACTGTCACTTGCAACATCCAGAAATACCTGGAGTAAGAAAGCAAAGTGTTTCAGGAAAGACTGATTCCTTCTATGTGTCTCCTTCATTGATCAAACCTTTCAGATAGGCAAAAGACAGAACTGTTTGGTATATGCCTCTGTACTGTTATAGTACCTCCTCCTGAATGCACACTTTAATATTTCAAGGTTTTAGTGTTGGGGAAGCTGAAACCAATGCCATTGTGAGACCACACTTTGTTACAAGTTTGACTTCTCAGCAAGGTCACCCAGAGTGGAACAGTCAAAGCTGAGAAACCAGACTAAGGTGCACCCTGTATCTTTAGAAATTAGTCACATCAGCAGAAATAATAGTTGTGATGACAGCGGCAGATAAACTTCTGAAAGGCAACTACTGTACAGCAGTTGATGGTGACAGGGATGGAAGATCTTTCAGACAAGCGCAATACTTGAATGAACTCTTGGTAGCACTGCACAGAAAAAGTCAATAGTAAACAACTTCTGAATATTTCAAATCTTGAAAACCCTATGATAAGACAATCCAAAATGAAGCAAGATTGTCAGAAGACACTCAGGTCAGAAGGCACTCAGTCAATTACTGGGGGAAAGCAAAGGACAACTATGGATAGGACTGATGCTAATGAAGCAACTAGATTAAAGTTGAAAGGATGCACTTAAAATATACAGATGCCACCACATTACAGTAGTATTGTACTGGCAGAAGCAGAAGTGACTTGAAATGAAAACTGATGAAGGTGAAAGAGTGAAAACGGGATTGTAGTTGAACATTAACACAAAAATCACAACTAAAGAAGAATCAGTTTATTCAATAAAGCTGACAATGAATAAACTGAAATCTTGACTATGTACACCTAGGTTCAATCATCAATCCAAATGGAGACTGCAGCCAAGAAATTAAAAGATGACTGAGACTCAGAAGGGCAGCTGGGAAGGAATAAGATTCTCAAGTGTAAGGATGTGTCACTGGAGACTGAGGCCAAGATCATCCATACTGTGACATTTCTGCTTACTATGTACAGTGGTGCCTCACTTAACGACATTAATTCGTTCCAGTGAAATTGCTGTAGAGCAAAAACGTCGTAAAGCGAAATTAAAAAACCCATTGAAATGCATAAAAACCAGGTTAATGCGTTCCAATGGGCTAATAACTCACCGTCCAGTGAAGATCCTCCATACGGTGGCCATTTCTGGTGCCTGTATAGCAAGGAATCCGTCCCTAAGCACAGCATGGAGCCATTTTGAGCACCCGGTGGCCATTTTGAAAACCCGACAATCAGCTGTTTTGATCATCGTAATGCGAAGAATCAGTTCCCGAAGCAGGGAACTAATCTTCGCAAAGCGAAAAAAACCCATTTAGACCATCGTTTTGCAACTGCAAAAACATCGTCGTGAAGCAGATTCGTCGTAATGCGGGGTAATCATTAAGCGGGGCACGACCCTACTAGAAATGGGCATGAGCTACCAGTCTGTCAGTTCATTTTACGTCTCAAAAGGTGTTCTGAGCTTCCACAACAATTGTAAGAGCTCTTAGGACATGCTCATCCTACACATTTAAAACATTTTATCATGGGTCAGTTCTACAAGAACATCTGTTAACAGTCTTAAAAACTGTCTAGAAATTTCAAACAGAATTCTTAGCACTTGCACATGGACATAGCACTTGGCTTACAAGATAGAAACAATGATGGTTAGGGCACTTTAGTATTCTCTAACTGTTGCTAGTCTTCAGTTCTCCTAAAGAATACACCTGTTTGCCCTTGGATGAAGCCTTCTCATAGGTCACTTACAATAGTCTACTTATCTTCTTTCAGATCCCTCCTGAAAACAATGTTTTCAGAAGTTAAACTTTCATCTCTAGTTGTGAAGGATTCAGAGCATCTGCAATTACATTTATTTACATCAGTGGTTCCTAACCTTGGGTAATCTAGGTGTTCTTGGACTGCAACTTCCAGGAACCACAGCCAGTACAGTTTGTAGTGAAAGCTTCTGAGAACTGCAGTCCAAGAATACTTGGGTTATCCAAGGTTAGGAACCACTAACTTGCATCTATCCCATATTGCTGTTGCCTTCCCCCTCCATTCCTTTCATTGCCTTTTGGCTACAAAACTTTTGCCTGTAAGCTTTTGAAGGGCATGGGTCTGATTTGACTTCTTAGATATCTGTGGGTTTTACTGTCAAGTGCCATGTACGATTGTAGTACCATGGACTAAATCCAACTGTTAGTCCCAACTAGAGGTCCCAACTGGTGTAGGCAAACTAAATAAGTATCATTTATATAAGTGATCAAAGATACCAATGATTCAGTGGATTCATTCACTGAATGTAGTATAATATAAATAATAATGGATATGTCTTCAGCAAGATTCCCATCTAGTGAATGAAATCTTTATAAGCAGTTAGCATTTCTATAATTCTGCTTCTCAGAACTGGTGCAAAACTGTGTACAGCTACACTATCTATTTAAGATTACCAAGTGGTTTTAAAAGGATGTAATATGTACTACAGCTACAGATAATTAAAATTCTTAATCCTGAATAACCAAAATCTGGCAAATGTTTGAATCTACAATACAAAACAACCACATTAAAAAATATTTTTAAAAGCAGAAAATTGTATTTAAAAAAAAACATAGTAAAGGTTCCCCTTGACATTTAGTCCAGTCATGTCCGACTCTAGGGCGCAGTGCTCATCCCCGTCTCCAAGCCGTAGAGCCAGCGTTTGTCCGTAGACAGTTTCTGTGGTCACGTGGCCAGTGCAACTAGACACGGAACGCTGTTACCTTTCCACCGTGGTGGTACCTATTTATCTACTCGCATTTTTACATGTTTTCGAACTGTTAGGTTGGCAGGAGCTGGGACAAGCGACGGGAGCTCACTCCATTACATGGATTCAATTTTATGACTGCTGGTCTTCTGACCTTTGCAGCACAGAGGCTACTGCAGTTTAACCCGCAGCACCATCACGTTCCTAAAAACATAACATCACAGTAATAAAGTCAGAAATACTGTAGGTGTGTCCCAGGGCAGTCATGAATCTCCCATGCTACAGATTGATGTAGTTAACCAAGTTGACCACCGGGTGGCACCAACTAATAAGTTATAATATACAAAACATGAGATTAAAAAATAGAAAGTTTTCCTATACCATCTAATGCTTAATACTGCACTGTAGGCAAATACAATAAATTTAATATTCAAAATCACTTTCAGAACAATACAGACACAATTGTTGATCACAAGTATGTGCAAAATGCAACTGGATGTCAGATTTGGCTTTTAAGTTTTGAATTTGGCTTTTGTGGTGGCAATGAAGTTCAGGGAATGGATTGTCATTTTGTGAATTAAACTGTTGAATGAAATCAAACAACCTTGCAGCCCCAAGAAAGTTTACTGCTGGTTCCCTTTGTTAACAGAGAACTTATATAGAGAAATTTGGTCCCTTCTGACACTGACACTGTGGACGAGGTTCCATCAGTCATATGAAAACTCATTTTTCAAAAATGATTCAATCATTTCAAGGGCACCAGAGCTATGTGGGAGTTCTTTAGAGAAGGCAGCACTTTTTATTTCTTCCAATGAAAGTAACAGCCTGAATCAATCCAAGGCGCCATGTAATATGGCCAAACACCATCTACTTTTCTCACAGCAAAGGTACCGGTGAGTCGGAATCAGTATTAGAACATCTATGAACAATCTTTTGGCATCAAGCAATTAAGTTAGAAATAGGTGCATGAAAAAAAACCAGTATTTCAACAAGAATGTTCAAAGATCTTGGAAATTATATACAATCCTGCTGCTTGAAAAATAGCTAATCCATAATGAGGTACTACTAGGCATTATTGTAGTGGAAAGCATTACACTCGCAAGAAGGTAATTTTTAAAATTACTGACCGTTCAGTAGTTCTATTCACAGCTGAATCTGACTGCCTCTGTAATTCAGTCTTATAAGCCAGGATGCGAGCATTGCAAACCATCAAGTTTTTAACTGCATGCAACAGCTGGTCTTTTTGTGTGCTCACAGCAAGCAGTTTACAAATTCCTTCTCGCATTCGCATTTCAAAGTTAATTTTTTCTTGAATGCTGCAATCCTGAATACCAAAATAAAATATAGTTGTCACAAAATCTTCAATTTGTAGAATTATAATAAAAGTTACATTTGTTGAAACAGTGGCTGAAATCTTGTTACAGTTACGCAAATAGGAAAACTTTTAGATGCAAGTTGCTGCAAACTAAGAAATCTTTACAGGTGTTATCTGTTATTTACTCAGTTGCACAACTCAGAATGCAATAGATAATGTCTTCAGAGATTTCTTAACTAAAGATAATTCATTTTCCAAATTTATGCTGTTTACTAAATTATGTAACAGGATTTCAGCTAATTCTATTTAATTATCTGACTGGTAGTGAGAATCCTGATGCATTTTCTAAGATTACAGACATATCCTGTAATAGCAATAGTTGTGATAGCATCTGAGAAATCTAGTATAAATGATTACAGATTTCTCAGGTGCTGTTATTATTACATTGGAAACTGTCTAGTTCATAAGCTAAAAAAAACTGAATGAATACAAATCACTGCTTTTGACAGAAACAAAACCCATCAGTGAACCTCTCACCAACAAAGATAATGCGTATGTTAGTGGTTTGCCAATAGTTTAATCTCTTTCTCTGTGTAGTGAGAGTTTGTGTGGTGCATTGACTAGAGTGCTACACTATCTGTAAACACTGGGTTCAAATCCTCTCTCAGCCATGAAACTCACTAGATGATCTTGGCCCACTGAGTTTCTGTCACTGAGCTACCTCACAGGGTAGTTATGAGGATAAAATGTATGGAAGACAGCACTGTATAACACTTTGTGCTCACTGGATAAAATGCAAGACATAATTTAAAAAATACTAAATACATTTGCGGTGTTATGAAGAGGCACCAACAGCTTGAATCCTTAGATAGCAGAATAGAAACTTTATTCATGGCATTTCCTAACATCAAAACAATCAATTTATCAAGAATACATTTATAGCAAGTACAAATTTAATTTCCTATTTGAGAGTACACATTTTTCCAACATAGAAATTATCAATTTTGAGGGGGGGGAATACATCTGAGCAGTCTTTAGGTTCTACAAGGGACAATCCAATATATACTTTTTACAGGAAACTTTTTCAATCAGTACTTCCGTGTTTCAGTATGCCATGTTCATCCCTTTAGAAACCCCACACAGGGCTTATTTTTAATATACGTACTGTATGAACTATACCACCACCTTTCTCTTCTCTTTTTCCCTATCTGTTTTTTTTCCCTTCTACAACTACAACTGATACTACTACTCGTAGCAGTAACAATGGGAGTACAGTATTACTAAATGCTGAAGTTCCGTAACTGAAGGTGAGATGTTGACCACTTTCTGAAAAAGAAAAAAGAAAGTGCTATTTCTCTAAATGCCAGCTGTGGGCCTTTATCTACCAGTTATGGAGCCGTTCCTTCTACCATACACTTAACTCAAGTGGCCTGGGAAGAGCTAGTCCTTTCTGACATCATCGCTTCTTTAAAGTATAAGTAGCATACTCCCAAAGGACTCTAATCATTAGATTATTTCTTCATTCATTGAAAGACGAGGAACACTTTCAAACACCACATGTACTTACACTGTATCCTCTAACATAAGAATGTCATAACTTGTTTATTTTTTGCAGGGTGGATTTGATTTAAATAAGAAAATTAGATTTTTGACTATTTAAAGAAAGAAATCAATTTTGATTTAAACTGTGATTTAAATCAATTTGATTTTTTAAAAAATCAATTGAGAAAGTGGAAATGTTACAAAAAAGTGGATAAAATTGATTTTTATCTGCTTTTTTGTAACAGCTCATATGTCATGGAATACATCAATTATCCCCAAATTGTGTGCTGTGACAGGATCTGAGGTGCCATAAACAACCAGGTCTTAGTAAAAGGGCTAATCCTAACTTGTGACCAGAGACAGGAAATTAGACCTACCCAATTCCAGCTCCCATGCATGGAGAGCTACATCCATAGATGATAGTAGTCAGTTCCTATGGGGGCTCTCAACACGATCAGAAGTTCAGAAAAATCAGTACTTCAGTACTGAGTTCTGCTAAATAAGTTAATGGAGAGAATGAGCAGGCTGCACCCCTTCTTCCCTGAGTTTGATCATGAGATGTGATGGGTCTGAAAACGGCACTTCATCATCTCATGAAAGTTCTCCCTGTGAGCCAGAACCTTGATTTCTTGATGTTCTGAATCATGTGGAGAGCCTCCGAGGATCAAAAACTCCTCTTTTCAGACCTGAGCTTGCACAGTTGTCAGACATGGAACAATTCTGCAAGCATGATCCTATCCGTAATTGATTAGGCAAAGTGGAGAAACAAAATCCCTGGGATTAAGAGTCAGAGTACAGAGATTATCATTACCAAAATGCCTTCACTTGCTTTTGGAGTGTAAAAAATAAATCCATGAAATTTAATCTAAGAAACCCTAAAGTCCTCAGTATCAATCATTCAGGGAACAATGGTTTATGTGTTCCTGGGAGTTACGACAGGCTTTTTCCCCTCTCTTTTTTCTTTTTCTTTTGTCATCACTATGGCAAAGTTTTGGGCTTCAGAAACATTAGACTTTAAATTTTGGACCTGAGAAGTAAAAGGAGCATTAAGTCCTGTATATTATTCAGAACATTATGCCTATATAATATGGTACTGTACTACCAAAAATAGCCAAAAATTTTAACAAAACTCTTTTAACTGTTTACACATTTTAAAATGTGTTCTGGATCAATAAACAAATGGTTCAGATGAGTTAATGGATCATTAATTCATAAATTACCACAAATATTTGTGTCCTTGATGCTCCACACACACTTTAAACTTCACAGAACATTATGCAAGAAAACAAATTTTGTTTGAAATATGGCTTAACAAAGATTGGACCAATAAAAGTACTTTACTTGTGTACCTTGCAAATTAAGTTATGAAGACTGTAATTCCAGTCAAGATTTTGCAATCTGTGAGGAAATGAAAGGTTTTTCATTTGTAAGTACCAACATCTAAAGTTTGTGTCTATATTTTAAGGCACATTTCTTGGCTTGGATCCAGACGGTACCTTCTGTGGGCAGACCAACTTTGTCTGTGGCAGACTTCTAATCTAGTTGAAGAGATCCACTGATGGAACAGGGGAAGAAATGAGCTTCAGCAGTTCCTATAAACCCCAGCAGTCCCTATGCCATGGAAAACTGAGATACCCTTTAAAACAGGTTGGAACATAGTGTTCAGGGGACTGAAGAATGGTGGCGGGGTGGAGAATCAGTGAAAATCATTCTTCTTTTCTGGCTGGCTGAAGTCTTAAAATGTGTGAGGGGGGACCACACCACACTAGAACCAATCCATTATATAGTGCCAACAAACGACAAGAAAGAAAAAAAAAGACAAATGCTGTGTGGTCCTTATGAACCATCAAAACGAAAAGAAGGGCGATACTTTATCAGACCACTAAAAGCACAAACATAAGCCGCCCAGAAGCCACTGGTAATGGTGCGGCTAAAAATACTGTAAATAAATAATAAGCTTTCCGCCTTTCATGTTCTCTATGTCTTTTTGCCAAGCTGGTCATCACAAAGAAGCCTAACCGGCCACCTTGGCCATGAGCTTTGGACCTTTAACGTTTCTTGTGCACCACCCTCTGTTCTGAGGTGCCCATTCTGATGAAGATTCATGCAGGGTCGAAAGCTAAGAGGTATAATGGTGTGTATGTTTACTAATAAAGGTATCGCCGACCCTTTCCTTCGGTTTATACGGTACCACACAACACAATCCTTGAGCATCAAAATAATCAGGAGCATCATAAAATGAGCGAGGGAAAGGGAGGTAAAGTGTTAAAGACAGCCCTGTACCACCGCGTCCCACGTATGGAAACCAGCTGCAAAGATAGGCGGGAAAACGAGGGGGAAACCGGCGACAGGGCACCGGGAGGAAAGAAAGGAGCCCCGAGGGAAAAAGCGGCGGGAGTCCCGGGGGCTGCTGCCGACCTGGAGAGGAAGAAAGGTACGAGAAGGCGGGAGGAGGGACGCGGCTGCTCACTATCCCCCTTTTCCCTCTCTCGTGGCTCACCGGTTCGTTCGCCAGCTCCTCGCCGGAAGAGCTGCTCCCTCGGCACCGCCTCATAATGGCAACCGGTCACTCTGACTGCTTTCTCTGCTCGTTGCTCCTTTCACGGCCGCCACCACAGTTCAAACTTCCCGCGCGGCCGCCTTCCTCGCGGGAGGCCCAACGGCAGCCTCAGCTCCGCCTCCCGGGCCGCGGGGGGCCGGCGCCCAAATAAATAAATAAACACAAATCAGGGGAGGGAGGACTGCAGGCGGGTTGAGGGAGCCCTGGGTGGAGAGCGGGCTCGG